TCATCAGACTAAATAAACCATTTTTGATTAAAGCAGGTGGAGATGGTTAGCCTTGCAAATTCTCAAAGAAGCTACCTTTTGTGCATATTTGGGGAAATAACTAGATGCCTATTAATGGAAGTAAACCAAGAAAGAAAAAATAAATGGCATCCAAAAAACAATGGACCCAAAGCAAGAAAAAGGCAAAAAAGAATTTGGAAGATGGTGCTAAACCTCTGGTTTGGCTGCCACCCAGCCCAGGTTGGGAGCAGGAAGCTAGAAAGCTCTGGAGAGAGGAATCCAGGAATAAAACAAAACTAATAACTTATCTGATGTTAGAATGTCTGGACATTAATTTGGTAGACATTTGACAGATCTGTTAGCCCTTTTGTGGACAAAGTGATTAGGTATATGGGAAACTAAACAAATGAAAAGCAAGGCAACTATTAACTCCAGAACAAAAGGAAAACGTTGAGCACATAACCATAAGACAGTATTTGGATCAGCATTCATCCCACAAATACTGGAGTGTCAGACTCCGTGTGAGCACTGGGCTACCTGCAATAACAGCAGATCAAGTCCCTGCTTTCACAGAGCTTACATTCTAGTGCAGCGGTTCTCAACCTGTGGGTCAAGACCCCTTTGACGGTCGAACGACCCTTTCACAGGGGTCACCTAAGACCATCCTGCATATCAGATATTTACATTACGATTCATAACAGTAGCAACATGACAGTTATGAAGGAGCCACGAAAATAATTTTATGGTTGGGTAACACCATAAGGAACTATATTTAAAGGGCCAGAAGGTTGCGATCTAGTGGGTAAAATAGATGCTTAAAAAAAAAAGAATCAATACATACTATCAGATAGTGATTCATTAAAGAAATTTAGAAGTATATATGGATTGAAAAGTGGGACACACCTGCTACTTGGCATAAAATAGGGAATAAAGAAACATCTGAGCAGAGACCCCAGTAAAGTGAAGGAGAAAGCAGTTGGCTCTCTGTGGGAAAATTGGTCTAGAAAGAACAGATAGTGCACAGCCTGGAAGCAGGAGTGGGCTGTATTTGTTGAAGCAACAGAGGGGGACCGTGTGTCGCAGCGATAGAGGGGGAGGAGAGATCAAAGAGAGAGCTCAGGTCACGTGGGGCCCTGGCAAGGACTTTGGATTTACAGAGCCATAATAATGTAACTAATGATTTCAGTAAATGTGTGTAATGTAACTCCCGTGAAGTGAAGGCAGAGGCTGTACGAGGGCTCCAGGAAGTTGACAGAGAATGCTGACAACAGTACATTAACAGATGGCAGTGTGCACGAATTAACTAGAACGATGGAGGTAATTACCAGAAGGAAAAAAACCAGGAAGAATTTGAAGTGGTTTGTGGTGGGGAGAAAGAGGGAACATGGGGCGGCTGCTTTTCATTGTAAAACTTTAAATACTATTTGGCATTTTAAAAACTGTAAGCATTTTCTAAAAGCTTGTGAAAGCGCTTGATGAAGGGTGGAAATCTCAACTGCAAATGTATCAGGCGTGAACCAGCCCTGACGATGCAGCCAGGGGCGCAGTGATGGCAGGGTGGGAGTAGGCTGTGCAGACTGCGGTGCTCTATCTTCCTAAGTGGAATGTTCTAGATCTCCATCAACTGCTATTTTTCTCCCACCTTACATTGCTTTAGGTCACCAGCGAGGCTGAAAAAAAAAAATGCACTTTCCTTCTGCATAAATAAGTATCAAAAATATAAATCTTTGTTTTACTATGGTTGCAAATACCAAAAAATTTCTATATGTGACACGGCACCAGAGTTAAGTTAGGGTTCTTCAAAATGCTGACACGCCGAGCTCAAAAGGTTCGCCATCACTGCCCTAGCCTATGCTATTGTAAACAGGATAAAAGAAACCATGCCTGAAATCTTGTGTGGAATAAGGTGGTGTTGATATAACTATTTTGACTTTTACTGAACTTGAATCATAGTGATCATATTCATTTTTGTTAGAGCTGCATCAAATCTCTAATTTTTCAAACTATATCCCAATTAGGTGAAAATGATACTGTGCATTCGTTTGCATGTCTTTAATTCCAGTGAGATTCCTTATCGATATGTTATTTGTGAATTGTGTTTGTGTCTCTGCCCGTTCTTCTATGGTATGTTCCTCATTAATTTGGAAAGGCTCTGGAAGGGAATATTACTGTGATGAGAAAACAGCTATTTGGAGTTCATTCCCAGAGTCTAGACATTTAGACAAGACCTGAGCTGAGGACTCCCGCCCCAGGTTCCGGCTTTGCTTTTCCTGGGGTGTCTTTTAAAATAACTATTCTAGCCCAGCCGGCGTGGCCCAGTGGTTGAGCATCAACCTATGAACCAGGAGATCACAATTCAGTTCTCAGTCAGGGCACATGCCCGGGTTGTGGGCTCAATCCCCAGTGTGGGGCGTGCAGGAGGCAGCCGAGCAATGATTCTCTCTCATCATTGATGTTTCTTTCTCTCTCCCTTCCTCTCTGAAACCAATTAAAAATATATATTTAAAAATAAAATAGGGAGGCAGTCTCTGTTTGGGGGGCTCAGGCAGCTGTGCTGTACGTGCCACCTTTAGAGGCTCCCTTTCCCTGAGACTTTACAGCCATTCGAGGCGAAAAGGCTCCCGACTAGAGAGGAGTGGGCGGAGGCTGTGCAGGGGCCACGGGACCACAGCTGCCTGCAGGGAAGGACCGGGGGGGTCCACTGAGTTGTTGGGCCTTTGTTTTTTCCCTTGGCTGTGGCACTGCCTACCACAATGACAAACGTGTCCTGGGTCCCCTCTTTGGAGAAGGACCATCTGTGTTGCTGGTGGGACTGGGGTCCTTGTGGAGTCGTGAGAAAAAGCAGAGACCCACAAGGGAGGGGGAGGTCTGGTGGTAAGAGTTATTTGGGTGAAAACAGAAGGCCCCAATGTCCCGTCTCTGTCTGTCCCAACGTGGAAAATCAGGGCCAGATATAGGGCCAACGTCCAGGGAGTCTGTGCCACGTTAAAGCTAGTCCAGGCCAGCCTTTCTCACCGTCGGGAGCTTAGCTCCCTTTCCGGCTACAATTGGTGCTGCTGGATCCAGGTTCCCACCTGGAGCCGGCGTTTGAAGTCGGCCGCTGTCCCCATCAACCATGTTGCTAAGGCCACATGGTTGCTAAGGAGAGAGCATGCAAACCAACTGGATGATTGCATATTCCCTGAAAATGAATGTGTGTGTGTGTGTGTATATATGTAATTTTTTAAAAATATTTTTATTGATTTCAGAGAGGAAGGGAGAGGGAGAGATAGAAACATCAGTGATGAGAGAGAATCATTAATTGGCTGTCTATTGATAGACTGCCTCCTGCACGCTCCACACTGGGGATCGAGCCATAACCCAGGCATGTTGCCCTGACCAGGAATTGAACCGTGACCTCCTGGTTCATAGGTCAAGGCTCAACCACTGAACCACACCGGCCAGGCATCCCTGGGATTATATTATCTTGGGCTTGGGAAGGACCAGGTGCTTTTTCACAATAACCAATCAACTTCCGAAGCTTTCACGGGACTCCGATGGGCCCACCCGACCAGTGATCCCTTTCCCAGGCTAGATTGACAAGCCTCTATGGCCAAGCACCTCCCCGTGGGCCATTTTGACTTCTACTGCACGTGTGCTCACCTCTCCCTGGCCCCCCAGACAACCCGGGGCCTGAGGGGGAAGGCAGGGGTGTTAATCCTTGGTGGGGCAGTACTGTGATCGCCTGGGTCGGGGGGCGCGGAGAGCTGGCTTCCTGGTGAAACTGCAGGCTCAGTGTCCCGTTCAGCTAAACCATATTTGATTCCCTTTGCTTCCTTTCTTTATTAATATTGACCCTAATGTCTACAGACTCAGCTTCTCAGCTGCAGAAAAACCGGGTGGAGCACACATGTTCCATAAGCTGAACCGTGACGCTTTGAAACAGTCTCTTACTTCTTGTTTCAAACACTGGACCAGTCTCTCCGCAAAATAGTTTTCAGACGTAGTTGGCCTCATACTGAATTCCAGAAACATTGCTTTGAATGCTTAACAGGAAAATGTGTGAATGTGGAAGTAGCTTTAAGTAGCTTTCCTTGAGTCGTTAGTTCAGTGTTTCTTTCTCCTGGTGGTCCTACCTTTATTCAGCTAATATCATCATTTTGCACAGTTTGTTGCAATCAAATCTATAAAAACCCATGCATGCAGGGCCAGGGGCGGCCCCCTTCCCTGCCGCACCCGTTCCCCTGGACGAGGGGCTCTCTGCACCAACCAGGTCCCACTGCACGCTGAGGGCCACCAGGGCGGGGGACCTGAGGCCACCTGAGGCACTGCCCTTGGTTTCAGGCAGGGCAGGACTCTGACAGGCGGTTGGTCATAACTCCACAGGTGGTAGCTTCGCCCCACTGGCTTGGCTCCTCGCCTGGTGGTCCTACCTTTATTCAGCTAATATCATTTTGCACGGTTTGTTGCAATCAAATCCATAAAAACCCATGCATGCAGGGCCAGGGGCGGCCCCCTTCCCTGCCGCACCCGTTCCCCTGGACGAGGGGCTCTCTGCACCAACCAGGTCCCACTGCACGCTGAGGGCCACCAGGGCGGGGGACCTGAGGCCACCTGAGGCACTGCCCTTGGTTTCAGGCAGGGCAGGACTCTGACAGGCGGTTGGTCATAACTCCACAGGTGGTAGCTTCGCCCCACTGGCTTGGCTCCTCGTGTTTTGATCTATAAAATACCGGTGTCCATGACTATTCCCTCCTTTATGTTTAGGAAGGCTTTTCTACCCTGAGGTCAATTAATATTTACCTCTCCTCCGCTTCCCCTCCCCCCTTCTATTTGCCAACGTTGTTCAGGCCTCACGGTGAGCATGTAACTGCTCAGCGGACACGACTTTGGTGACCTGGTGACAGGACAGACAGGCTTACTTTATGAGAATGAACGGACCCTTCTCCGTACGGCTTGTGATTTGGACTCCCCAGTCATGGTTGCATTTCCTGCCAACATACCCATGTTTTCCTCTTCAGCCACCTGACAGCTGCCCCTGTGTTTCAGGTGACCCAGGGCCCCGATGGCAAACTTCAAGGGCCACGCTCTCCCGGGGAGTTTCTTCTTGATCGTTGGGCTGTGGTGGTCAGTGAAGTACCCACTGAAGTATTTTCACCAAAACGGGAAAAGGAGACAACTGAGTCGTAATTATGAGCGACTGGAGATCATCGAGGCCGCCATCAGAACTTTATTTCCAGTCATTGGTAAGGATGGGGGCCGTGTGGTCCAGGGGATCTCCCATCACACCCAGAGCCTTCAGCCCACTCTCTGGACCCTGTGGATGGATGTCTCCACGGGCAAAGATGATAGGTAATAGTGTCAGTTGGCCACTAGACATTTCATCACAACATCTGCTGTGCACTGAACCTTGTCATATCAACAGTGAACAGTGCCTCGCATCTCAGTGCACTGTGAAAAAGTACCAAATAAATTACATCCTTTGCCCTAGAAAGATATAGGTATAGATCAGTGATGGCGAACCTTTTGAGCTCAGCGTGTCAGCATTTTGAAAAACCCTAACTTAACTCTGGTGCCGCGTCACATATAGAAATTTTTTGATCTTTGCAACCATCGTAAAACAAAGACTTATATTTTTGATATTCATTTTATATATTTAAATGCCATTTAACAAAGAAAAATCAACCAAAAAAATGAGTTCGCGTGTCACCTCTGACACATGTGTCATAGGTTCGCCATCACTGGTGTAGATTGTAGGAACAGAAGACATAATTTTTGCAAAGGACAAAACACAAAAGTAGAAAAAAACAAATTGAGAGTAAGCTCATGAATTATGAGAAAATGAAGCTGAGTTTTAGAAAAATCTTTTTTCCCCAACTGTCTCTTCTCCAGAATCTCAAGAGTAAACCCCTACTCACTGGCATATCCTCCACCCCCAAACCTCACGCAGGTAGAGAGGAGTGTAATGCTTGGGGCTGGTAAGAGGCAGCGGACGTGACTGAAAGAAGCCCACAGAGGCTGTGTGTGAGGGGTCTTCCTTTAGAGTGCCTTTCCCAACAAAACCCGCCCCCTTCCTCATCATCTATCCACTCTGCTGGGGTCCCTCGAAGAATGAGTGGTACCAATGAGGGACCTGATTTGGCAACAGCATTTGCCACTCATCATCTCTGGCCGCCAGTTTCCTGGGCGCAGCTGAAGCCAGGCCAGTGGCTTCTCTGGGAGTTGGCACAGGAACATGGCTCTGTTTCCTGGTCCAGCAGGACTTCCCCATTCACCAGCCCCTCAGGCATCAGAAAGGCTTTCTCATCTTTCTGGAGCTGAGAAGTAAACAGGGACCATATATATGGCTTACGTGGTAATATATTTATTTCCACATCAGTTTATGGCAGTGGTCGGCAAACTGCGGCTCGCGAGCCACATGCGGCTCTTTGGCCCCCCCGAGTGTGGCTCTTCCACAAAATACTGACTTCTGCGCATGGGCCACGAAGTTTCAATCGCACTGTACGTGCGCGTCCGCACGTGGTATTTTGTGGAAGAGCCACACTCAAGGGGCCAAAGAGCTGCAGTTTGCCGACCACTGGCCTAAACAAAGCCAAAGAACTGTGTCTGGGTGGAAATAATAACTTATTCACCAATTATTTCCTGAGTTCTCACTACGTGCCAGGAACTCACCGTTCTAGGTAAGGGGGTACAGTGGGGAACTACAGCTAGTCTAGAGCTCTGACAGGACTTCCCTTTCCTGAGTTGTCTTCACCAACTCCTGAATCCTTTATGCACACATTCAGACGGGGACTAGATTTGGGGAAAACAGTGTTTGGGGAGCAGGGTCCAGAATGTTCCATGGAGGAGTTATTGTATCCCCAAGAACACTCTGGGCACCAGGCATAAAGGCAAAGCTTTTGCCTTCAACGCAGGTGACAGGAGGGTTGAGAACCGAGACCCGCACTGAGGCACAGCTTGGCCACCTGGCCGTCTCCAAAGCTTGCCTCTCCTGGAACACCGTATGGGAGAAACCCCAAGCTGACGTGTAGGACACTGAAACCTAAAGCTACGGGAAGGAGCCGAGAACACAGAGCCCACTCCGTCCTACAAGCGTCCCTGGGCGTGGCTTCCATCCCTTGGGCGGACACAGGTATCGCCATCACCAGTGTCTGCTCAGATTCTATTATTTCCAACCGAATGGTTTCCTTCCAGGATTCCTTTCCCTGCTCACTTGGCAGAGGGAGCCCCAAGATTAAGTTATCTGCCACACTCTCGCTTAGGTGGCAATGCCCCAAACAAGTTTCCTGTGGACGGTGGCTGCTTAATAACTTATTCACCAATTATTTCCTGAGTTCTCACTACGTGCCAGGAACTCACCGTTCTAGATAAGGGGGTACAGTGGGGAACTACAGCTAGGCTCGAGCTCTGACAGGACTTCCCTTTCCTGAGTTGTCTTCACCAACTCCTGGATCCTTTATGCACACATTCAGACAGGGGCTGGTTTTAGGGGAAATAGTGTTTGGGGTGCAGGGTCCAGAATGTGCCATGGAGGAGTTGCTGTAGCCCCAAGAACACTCTGGGTACCAGGCATAAAGGCAAAGCTTTCGCCTTCAACGCAGGTGACAGGAGGGTTGAGAACCGAGACCCGCACTGAGGCACAGCTTGGCCACCTGGCCGTCTCCAAAGCTTGCCTCTCCTGGAACACCGTATGGGAGAAACCCCAAGCTGACGTGTAGGACACTGAAACCTAAAGCTACGGGAAGGAGCCGAGAACACAGAGCCCACTCCGTCCTACAAGCGTCCCTGGGCGTGGCTTCCATCCCTTGGGCGGACACAGGTATCGCCATCACCAGTGTCTGCTCAGATTCTATTATTTCCAACCGAATGGTTTCCTTCCAGGATTCCTTTCCCTGCTCACTTGGCAGAGGGAGCCCCAAGATTAAGTTATCTGCCACACTCTCGCTTAGGTGGCAATGCCCCAAACAAGTTTCCTGTGGACGGTGGCTGCTGCACCTCCCTCTACGTGCCCGTCCCAGGAACAGCAACTAAGACACAACATCTACACAGATTCCTCAGCAAAGACCTCCCTTTAGTCTGAAGTAGCCAAGTAGGGCCACTAAGCCACAGGCTGTGCCACCCAGATCCTGACTTCAGTCCCGCCTGGGGTTATTTTTGGCTTGTCTCCTATTGTCTTAGAGTTACTCTCCCCGCCTAATTTCCATTCTCATTTCCCTGCAGGGATCCTAGCAGAGCAGTTTGTTCCGGATGGGCCCCACCTCCACCTGTACTCGGAAAAGGAGTGGATCAAGTTGATGAACTGGCAACACAGCACCATGTATCTGTTCTTCGCCATCTCAGGAATCACTGACATGCTCACCTATCTCGTCAGTCACATGCCCTTGGGGGTGGACAGACTGGTGATGGCTGTGGCAGCGTTCAACGAAGGTAACTGAGTGGTAAGGATGGGAAAAGGGAAGAAACTGACAAGCTGTGGTTATGAGGGATCTGGGCACAGTACACAACTATCACAAACATAACCACCTTCCCCAGAAAAAATCCAAATCTCTGAACTTCAACCACCTGAGCAGGCTCAGTCCTATGCTCTGGATGGTATAGATGACATAAAGAACCCATGAAAGGCCCGGCCACTGGCTCAGCGGTTGAGCATCGACCTATGAACCAGGAGGTCATGGTTCAATTACTGGTCAGGACACATGCCTGGGTTGCGGGCTCGATCCCCAGTGGGGGACTTGCAGGACACAGCTGTTCAATGATTCTCCTTCTCTCCCCTTCATCTCTGAAATCAATAAAAAATTTTGTTTTAAAAAAGAACCCAGGAAAGCACAAGGCTTTTAGCCAAAGTCACTGGCTAGGAGGGTACAAACTCACTGCACTCCTCCCGCCCCCTCATGCGTGTGAGTGCATGTGCACACGTCCACACGGAAACACAGAACTGTCTGAAGACGGGGTGAATGTCACCACGCCAGATTATGACTCCCTGTGGTTTGGGAAGGGAAACTGCACTCCAGCCTCTACCCGGAGTGTCATTGTCTGAACTCCATCACAAATAGGAGAGCTAGGCAGATCTCCCAACGTAGCTCATGTTCAATGGGGTTGTAAAAAAAGAATCTTGTAACCCAACAACCTCACTGACTTACGTTATCTCGAGTTTTGCCTGGGTGAATGAGGGCAAAACCGAATTTCAAGTAAATACACAATATGTCACCAATCAGCAATATTTCACTTACCCATCCTGTACTGAACCCTACCATCAATTCTGTAAAAAGATAGATATATCCTTTGCTGCTTAGACCCACTTTACACACACACGATTTTTTAAAAAAATATAGTTTTATTGATTTCACAGAGAAGGGGAGAGGGATCAAAACATCATTGATGGGCTGCCTCCTGCATGCCCTCTGCTGGAGATTAAGCCTGCAACCCGGGCATATGCCTTGACCGGGAATTGAACCGTGACCTCCTGGTTCATAGGTCGACGCTCGACCACTGAGCCACGCCGGCTGGGGCGGCACACACACAGATTTCATCTGCCCATTGCTTGTCCTGTAATGTCATAGAAACTGACTTTGTGAGGGCAGAAGACCCTGGCTGAGCACATTCTATAGTGGGGCGTGCAGGGTGGTGCTGACGGAGAAACGGGCATCTCTGACGGCTGTGCCTGGCTCTGGGGCAGGTTTCCTCTTCTACCACCACGTCCACAACCGGCCGCCCCTGGACCAGTTCATCCACTCGCTGCTGCTGTGTGCCGTGTTCGGAGGAGCTCTCAGCATCTTCTTGGAGGTGATCCTTCGGGACAACATTGTGCTGGAACTTTTCCGAACCTCGCTCGTTATTCTCCAGGGCACCTGGTTCTGGCAGGTAATTATTCAAACACTGCTCCTAGCGCTGTAGGGACTGCGGGGCCCACGGGGCGTGTCCAGATGAGGTCTGACATGCTGCCCCCGGACCTGGGGAGCCTTACCCATGGATAGCCTGCTGATGCATTAAGCAGAGTCTATGGAGTGTTCACAGTGAGCAGATTAACTATTTCCCCATCTGCCCGCCCCGATGGAGGTACTGATACCATCTAAAGGCTCCACTTGCTCAACTGTTCCCCTCAAATTTGGCTGGAAATAAGCCTTTGCTAAAACCAGAATTAACCCAGCCATTTTTCTGTGCAAAACATCTTTCCCGCTAAGGCAGGAGGCAACTAATGACTAGCTGTCTTCTCTGTGTGGCCCACCAGATTGGGTTTGTGCTGTTCCCGCCCTCCGGAGGCCCGCAGTGGGACCAGGAAGATCACGCGAACCTCATGTTCATCACCATGTGCTTCTGCTGGCACTACCTGGCCGCGCTCTGCATCGTGGCCGCCAACTACTCTCTCGTTCACTGGTACGTCCCCGAGACTTCTGTCCGCGTTTTCCTTCCAACCAACCCCCTGCACCATTTTTATTTCCAGGGACCCCTTTCACAACTCACTCCTGCCACTTAACAAGTACCAGCTAAAGGCCGAATCCTGTGCTAGGTGCTCTAGACCAGTGGCCGGCAAACTCGCGAGCCACATGTGGCTCGCGAGCCGCAGGTTGCCGACCACGGCTCTATACTATGAATGCGGGTGATGGGGCTCTGAGAAGGGTAAGGGCCTGACTGGTCATAGTAACCTGGGACAGATCTGAGCTCAGGCCTGTGCTGTGACAGAAAACGCTCGGAATGAGGCCCGGGCACTGGACTGCAGTCCTGCTCTGTCCCTGTTCATTTCGAGCCCATCGCCTGTTTTCCCAGAGGCCTGGCGACAATCAGATGATTCAGCTCGCAGCTGAAGTGCTCTTCCAAGATGACAGCCAACAGTTCCCAGGCACGTGCTTTGTCCCAGGCACCGCCCGATTTAATCCTTATCACTTTATGAAATATGTAACGTTGTACAGACGGGAAAACCAAGGCTTCAGAAGACTAATGTGATCAGGGTTGCCCAATGAACAAATGGCAGCACTCCAGCCTTTAACCACAGCCAGAGAGACTGCGGGCACATGGCATTAGCTGTTGACTCAGCTGCCCCCATCTCCGTCCCTGGCTCCTGATTTCCCTACCAAAGCAGATACCACTTCACCCAGACCAAACAGAACACTACTCAAGGTCCTAGTTTCTACCAGTTCTACTGCCGGGTCAGTGCAATAATAAAAAGGGAGGCGGGAGACCCGAGTTTAGTCTCAATTACAACATTCACTATCAAATATTATTCATCACGATCCCTTTATCTACCAACGAATACCGAGAAGTCAGATATATAATCACAATATTTAAGGAAGTAAATGCTTTAAGCACCATTAGACGCCCTCACATTCTTCAGGGAAGGAATAGGGAGTTTGGGGGCTGATTTAATTCGTTACTGTGTCTCCATTTCAGCCTTCTGACCCGGTTAAAGAGGCGCAGAGAAGGAGAAGTCATTGGCATTCAGGAGCTGAAGTCAGACACCACTTACCAGAAGGCCCTGCTGAATGGCTCCGATGAGGAATGAGACGGGGCCCTCGGTCACAAACGGGGTGGCGTGTCCCCGTGAAGACTAGCTGAGTGCCACAGTCGTGGCTCATCTCCATGTTAACGCTTGCCTTGGTCTGCCCTGAAGGTGCTCTATATTTGCACCTTCTCACTTAACGGCTGAAGACTGTTGGTGCGTATCCTTCATAAAGAAAAACAAAGCAAGCCTTTACGTCTCAGGAGAGAAATCAGAGACTCTGAAGTGTCGGAACAGCACGTAGCCTCATCGACGAATCCAGGATATGAATCCAGCCAGACCCACTGCTGTAGATGACTTACCCCTTCCTTCCCTCCCAAGAAAGCAGGAACTTTCTTATTAGGAAGTAAGTGATCACAGTGCCTTTCTTTTAGAGATTCAAGTCTAGCGTGTATTTTTACAAAGTAGTCACCCACAAGTTTTGGTGTTTACACATCACTTGTTAACATCTCCTCACTAATCATGACACTAGAGTACTGCAGTACCACTGTCGGTCAGTGACAAAGTTGGGCCAAAGGTACATTTTGTTTTTAAAACCAGGAAGCTAGTTAGGGGCCCAGAGGAGAGCTGGAACTCAGATGGTCTGACTCCTCATGAGGATGCTGACAGGAAAGCTGGACAGGGAGGGAGAGAAAATGTCAGGTAGGGGAGGCCTTGACTTTAAATACTACAGCTGAAAGCAAAGGGCAAGAATCCCGCCAAGTGTCTGAAGCTGGAACTGGTAATACAATCTTGATACTCTAGTCTTGGTTCTGGTTCTTTTTTTTTTTAAAAGCTTCCTTCAACAAGGGCTTATTAAACATCTCCTTTGCACCAGGACTGGAATGGTTGTACAGATTAACTAAGTATGTGCCCAGCAAGGAATTCAGTCTAATGGGAGAACTATGCAGGCAGTTCATACGGGGTGACTGATGCCATGATGGTAAGTGAAACCACCATGACACAAAGGAGGGAGGGTAAGTAGGGAGGAGCCTGCCCATAGAAAAGGCACATTCCAGGCAGAGAGAAAAGAACATGAATGGATAAAGGTGGTTAGGACGAATCTGAAAGCTCTTACCGTAGAGACCAAATAGTACCATTCAGACTCTGAAATATATCTTGTTTCTCACGACCACCTACCGGTATACTGGAAATATATTCGTTCTTCCGAGTTGAGTGGTCTAAGGTTACTAGGTGTAGAACCAGATTTCAGTAGGACTCCAGCTAGCCTGTCTCTCGCCTTTCTCCTCTGCTACGTCACACAAATGCAGCGATCATTCCGGTGGAGCATTGAGGTGTCATTCACCTGAAGCACTGAGATCAGCACCGGGGTCATTCCCGTGGAGCACTGAGGTCAGCACCGGGGTCATTCCCGTGGAGCACTGAGGTCGTCATTCACCTGAAGCACTGAGGTCAGCCCAGGGTCATTCCCATGGAGCCTTGAGGTCAGCACCGGGGTCATTCTCGTGGAGCATTGAGGTTAGCACCGGGGTCATTCTCGTGGAGCATTGAGGTTAGCACCGGGGTCGTTCCCGTGGAGCATTGAGGTTAGCACCGGGGTCATTCTCGTGGAGCATTGAGGTTAGCACCGGGGTCGTTCCCGTGGAGCACTGGACGGCTCTGGGAGAAACTCTGCCCTCAGCACCTCCCTTGCTCAGCCAGCACTTAGAGCTGGAGGCACAGCTTCAGGAGAAGAATGAGCTCCCTGAAAACTCGGGAGTTAGTACTGAGAGGCGAGCCCATGGGTACCCTTTCAGCAGCCAGTGGGTTTGCCTGCGGAGTAAAACCCAACATCCTTTCAACCAGTACCAGAGGACTTGTTATTGGCAATGAATGTAAAACATGTCCTTTCCTCGGCGATTGGAGTTGGGAAGAAGGAACCTACTCTGGGTTTTACTTTCAAAGCAACACTCTCCATTTTGAATTAAAGGGGGTGGGGCAGCAGGCTTTAGGAAAAGGTGGTATTTTCTCCAGAGTGAGGAGCAACTATAAAACATCCAAGTCTATTCTAATGCTCCTCCCTGCATGGCTGGGACACCATCACAGAAGTGATCACCACTAACAACATTCTGGGCTACAGGGCAAACCCCTCACAACGCTACGCACCAAATCCAGTCTGAGACACATGGTCGGAATAACTCTGCCAACTCCTGTCCACCAGAGGCTCAAAGACTCAAGGCCGCCACAGGTCCTCCTGGAATTGTCCCCTGAAACACCCCTGGAGCCACCACATCTCTCATGGCCCCAGGTGTGCATCCAGGACCCATGTTTGGTGCAAATGCTGGTGACGTCACCTGAACAATTCCAAGAGGGGGTTTCCGCTGTGTACTCCACCGACAGGCTGGCCAGGACCCATCTCACTTCCCAGGGCTCAGTCCTACACTGTTCCCCTCGGATGTCAAAGTCTGCAGCCACTAAGGAGACGAGCGGTCAGGTGACTTCAGTCAATAACAGTGTGGGGTGGGGTTGGGGCTGAAGGCCAGAAGGACTTTTATGAAATCATTTATTAAACAAATTCAGAGGAAGTTTAACCAGCAGTCAATACCCAAGACAGGATTCCTCCATTTCTACCTGTTGCTCACTTAGAGCCTGTCACATGAACTTTCCGTGTGAAATGTGACTCCAGGGAGTGCCGACATGCAAATACCAAAGTATTAGGAAACAGCAGGTGCAGCCGCCTTTCCTCGGGTGAAACAGTTGTTTCTCCTCACTGCAGTCCCTGCCTCCGGCCATTTCCCATCCCTTTCTGTCCAGCCCTCCACTCCTCTCAAAAGCTCAATCCTGCCTCGGCCGATTCACCTCTGCCCTGTCATCCAGACTTCCACCCTCAGCTCTGGATCGCCCCCAAGTCTCACCATGACACATCACAGCCACTCCCTTCTTAGGAAGGCAGCAGAAAGGGCACCTGACTTAGAATCCGAGGACTGGACTGACTTCTTGGTTCTAACTCCAGCTGAAATGCGCATTTTCTCCCCGTGAGAACAGCTTAACTGTTCACAGAACTTCCTTAGGAATCCAATGAGGTGTCTGTACAACCACTGTGTCAACACCAAGCCATCGAAAGGTGTCGGCCCCTCCACAACTTGCCTGATCCATCCGAAGCAGGCCACTCCTTCCAATCCACTTCCGCACGCAGACGCCATACAGTGTCATCGCTAGCCTTCAACAGATTAAGATATCTTTTCAGTCATCTGGATCCTTCCAAGAGTTAGGGAAGCTCTGCCCCTGCAGAAAAGCTTTCCCACCCAAGCCCTGCTCCAGCACAGACGCGGCATATGTTCTTACCCCCAGTGCCTTAATTAAAGCGCCATGCCCAGCTCTCTGCCTGCAGCTGGGTGGGCCCGAGAAGCAGGAAACAGCCAGGACTAAATAACTTGCTTACCCGCACTGAGCTTTTTGTGGTTGGTGCTGTCCAGTAGGGACACCATCTCTACTTTGGAATAAAAGTCAGCAAAGTTTTACTTAAAGAACCACATAGAAAGTATTTTAGACTTGAGGACCATGTGTCATCTACTCAGTTCTGCTTCTGCTGGAACTGAAAGCAGCCATAAATAATACACAAACGAAATGGGCATGGGCTGTGTTCCAATAAAACTTTATTTACAAAAACGGGAAGCCAACCTAAGGGCGGTGGCTCACTGACTCTTGTTCTGGAGCAAAACAGAATGTAGAGTCTCTGAACTGAAATGCAGTCTGTGCTGCAAGAGCAGCGTCCCTGCTGGCATCCACCCGCCGTGCCCACCAGCCCGGGCGTGTGAGCAGGCTTGGTGAGGACAGCCAGCAGCAAAAGAACAGGCCACAGCCAGGATCCTGACACCCCCCTCTTTAAGAGGTAGTGCCCAACTAGTCCCATTTCAGGGAACCCACACACTCTCACTTCTTGTGTTTCTTTCCCATCTCAGAGCCTCTCCACGGAGTTATCCAGTCAGCCACCAACTTATTAGAATCCTGCCATTCTCACATTCTGGTCAAAAGAATGAATCCGTTTAGGGGGCTAATGCCCAAGTTTCTATTTGACAAAGACGTACAATAGGCTCTTTAAAAAAAATAAGTTACATAAGAATTTCCGGAGACAAAGCTCCTCTCCAGACCACTCGTCACGGAGAAGACCACAAGCTGAAAGGTACGAGCCGCGTACAGAATGCGGCGTAGTCGCTGTCCGCGCTCCCCCCGTAAGCCCGCTCTCGGGGAGCCTGGCTTGTGTGACACACTGACCTCACACGGCTCTGAGAGAAGCCTCCCTGGGTCGGTACGGAACAGACCTGGAGCGAGCCTTCCTCAGTGTCCTCCTCGTGGGGTGTGGCAGCAGATGGCAGCCCTGTGGCTGCCAGCCCGCCACTGGCCTCAGAGGAAGGAGGGGCCTCCCTGCTCCCTTCCTTGCGGCCTGCAGGGCGGAGCAGGCCTGGGCTCTGATGGAAGCTTCTCTCAGAGTCACTGCTGTTCGGGTGCCTGCTTAGGAGACGGAGCTGTGGTCACAACCACAGTGGAGACCGCTTTGGAGGAATTCGAGGCTGTTCCCTGTTGGAGATGGGACGCGGGGACAGTCTGGATGCGCACCTGTTCGCAAAGAGAACGTCCGGTCAGCAGCTTGCAAACAAAGGCAAGGAGAGAAGCCGGTGTGGCCCGCAGTGCGCCCTGGCCTCACCTGTGTGGCCTGGCCCTGCTGCTGGAGCTGCTGCAGCTGCTGGGCAGTGAGGAAGCTCACGGGCTTGTTGCCAGCTATGAGCTTGGTGCCCGCTGGCATGGTGGTGAGGATGATGTTGCGGCCCAACCCACTGAGGCTGTGGACGGAAAGCAGGATAGGGCGTTAGCTCCCGCCAGAATCAGGCCACGCACTAAAGGAAACCAGGGGGGCCTGGGGCCTGTGAAAATCCCAGCATTCTGGACTGAAGTGGAAACTAGCGGATGAGACGTTTGTTCCACCTTCCATGCGTCCCACGACGAGATAAGAGCGAGCCCAAGGCCCCCAGTGCTTTGGCTAAAATGACCCTGAGATCCAGACCTTGATCAGCGGGAGTAACGAACAAGGCCCCGGGGAGGCGTGCGCTTTTGTCAAGAATCCCCTGCCCCACACAGCTGCCTTGAGGCCATCAGAACGATCCCATCACACGCTTTCTCCCTGTCCCGTTTCACTCAGGGCCACGGGCAGCCCAGGTTCCAACAGGCCCTCCTCCTCCTGAGTGACCACACCACCAGGCTCAGAAAACGTGAGGCCTTCCCAGCAGCCGCAGTCGAAACTGCTGCCTGAGCCGTGTCAGTGGCGACCCATGACGCACTCCTGTCCCCTTCCTTGCTTTTTCTTCATAGTGCACCTTACCGCCCACATAGTATTTCGCTCCCCTCTTGAAGCCAGCATGGACTTCTGTCTCTCTCAATCACTGCTAGATCCCCCACACCTAAAACAATACTAGCTGCTCAATACGCCTCGCTGAGCACAACAAAGGAGAGGTACCCAGGGTGAGCCCCAGGAAACCAGCACCCGGAAGCCCTGTCCTCCCTCCCGATGGCACTTACTTGGCTCCCAGGTTGCCTTTGATGATGGGGGCTGTGACCACACTCTTGCCCTTCATAGGCTGGCTGATCACAGAGAGCGGGACTGTGATCCGCGTCGGCAGCTTCCCCTAGAGAGAAGGAGGAGCCAGTGTATGGGACACGGATGAGAAGACCAGCGTCTCCTCCAGGGCTGAGCCCAGGAGCCAGCGCCAGAGGCTCTCGTCGCCTGGGCTCTGCGGGCTCCAGCGTTCCTGAGGTGCGGCCCAGGGAGGCCTCATGAAACCAGTCACATCCAGTAGTTCAGGGCTCCTGCGCTACACTGAGGGGCCACCTGATCGCTAGCATCTCTTCCATGCTGCCTACAGCAGCAGTCACCACACACAATGCCGTCAGGATTGTGTGTGTTCCTCACCCCCAAAGGAGGATGTGTGTTCACTTCCGCACAGAGAGAGCCGAGCTCCTAGGGCAGTGATGGCGGACCTTTTTGAGCTCGGCGTGTCAGCATTTTGAAAAACCCTAACTTGACTCTGGTGCCGTGTCACGTATAGACATTTTTTGATCTTTGCAACCATAGTAAAACAAAGATTTATATTTTTGATGTGTATTTTATATATTTAAATGCCATTTAACAAAGAAAAATCAACTAAAAAAATGAGTCCGCGTGTCACCTCTGACACGCGTGTCATAGGTTCGCCATCACCGTCCTAGAGGGTAGGCCTTCCTCATCTGCGGAGCCCCGAGCGTGGCGCTCAGCAGCTGTCGGAGGCAGTGGGAGCGGGGACAGGGGCACTTGGAGTTCACACAGCAGGTGCACAGCTGCTGCTTCGCTGGAACACGGCAGGGCGTGCCCTGGGGGGACGGCCACATTCTCCAGGTGCCTTCCGCTTCCGCCAGAGATAAAGAGGTCAGCGAAGGACACCAGTAACAAACTCAGCCTCGTGAAAAGCCCAGCCCAAAGCTGATAAAGCCCAAGGGGAACTAAAAGGCTGAGAAGGCCTGTCTGGGCGTTCGGATGGCTAAGGTTCGGTCACTGCATCCCCTGTTTTTAGGCTGCCTGGCTTCTTAGCCCTTGGTGGGCCATAAAATTTACATTCAGTAAATCTGATTTTTAAAAATGATTCAAGCCTGGCTGGCGTGGCTCAGTGGTTGAGCGCTGACCTATGAAGCAGGAGGTCACGGTTCAATTCCCAGTCAGGGCACAGGCCCGGGTTGCGGGCTTGCCCAATGGGGGCGTGCAGGAGGCAGCCGATCAATGATTCTCTCTTATCACTGATGTTTCTCTCTCTTCTTCTCCCTTCCTCTCTGATATCAATAAAAACATATTTTTAAGAAATGATTCAAGAGGGGTGGTCTGCTAGGCTGCTAAGAAAAGGCATTGGATGTCCTGTGGGCCAGCTGGTCCTAAAGTCGGGCACTCAGGGTAGCCCACTGGAAAGCGCTGAAAGGTGTCAATAGGCAGCAGAATGGCGCCTCCGGTGGACTGACTTGTGGTTTTAGTTTCTTCAAGTCGTAGTTGCTTAAAGACATGTCAGGCCACCAGTGCACCAACCGGAAATGTCCCTTCCTGAGCGAGCCTCCTGACAGCTGACTAGACAGGGGAGAGGCAACACTTCCTGCCCCACTGGGTGCTCTCTGGTCCACAGCGAGGGGCAGAGGCAGGTTTACGGTTGTGAGCACGCCCAACAGTCCATTCTGGTACATTATGTATTAATTACTGTATCCTCTTCCATACAAACAACTGCAAACCTCCTCCTGCCCAACCCTGGTTTTCACCCCGATCAATGATAACAGGGTAGATGCCACCTGGTAGCTTTCCCTTGATACGAGAAGGATTCAAGGGAAACAAAAGTGGGTCAAGTCAGCGATTCCTTTCCTCCTTCTAACTTCTGAGATATGAGAACCTAGATATTTCCTTTGAAGCCACTCTACGTATCAGGGTGTATTGGCTGGTGGTTGTACTAAAGTATATGTCCTCCTTCCTCCTACTTCCATCACTCTACTCTGGCTTTTACCCCAATTATTGAGGTTTTACTACACAGCTTGTTTAGAAAAGGGAAACTATGTTTTACTCTGCCCACATAACATATACTATAGTGCTCCTGATCTAGAAGCTGAATGGACACAGAAGCATCCAGAAACACACCTATGCTGACACGAGAATTTGGTTTAGGATAAATGTAGCACTTCAAGTTAATGGGAAGCAATAAATCAGTGATGTTGGAATAATGTGAAAAACATAAAATGAGATCTCTACCACAGGCTATTCACAAAATTATATTTCAAATGAATGATCAGCTATACCTTTCTTAAAACTCTGAAAATATTTTATGAAAATACAAGCTAATATCTTTATAACCCTGAGGTAAGAAAGGCAAAAGACATAAAACCCAGGAACCATAAAAGGTATGTTGATAGACAGATCTTATCAGATAAAATACCTGTAAAGCAAAAGGCTCCAAAGGCAAGGTTAAAAAGTGACAGAGGGACCCCAGCTAGTGTGGCTTAGAGGCTGAGTATCGACCCATGAGCCAGGTCACTGGTTCGATTCCCGGGCAGGACACATGCCCAGTTGTGGGCTCGATCCCCAAGAGGGGGCGTGCAGGAGGCAGCTGATCAATGATTTTCTCTCACTGATGTTTCTCTCTCTATCCCTCTCCCTTCTTCTTTCTCTAAAAAAATCAATAAAAAATTTTTTTTAAATGACCGAGGGGGAAAAAATACTTTCCACACAGAACTAAAACCCAGAAGATAGAAAGGCTCTAAAAAAATCAATAAAAACATTTTTTTTAAATGACCGAGGGGAAAAAATACTTTCCACACACAGAACTAAAACCCAGAAGCTAGAAAGCGTCACTCAAACTATGAAAAAACAGAAAACTCCAAAGAAAACTGGCAAAGATTTATCTACTGCTGGAGAGCACAGCCATCCGCACAGGCCTGGATGCTCAATCTCACTACAGACCAGGGAAACAAAACAGAAACAGGACTCTCTCAGGAGTAAGAGAGCCACATACGGTTCAAACAAGTGCCACCCGGCCCTGGGGAAGCCAGGAGACTTGCTGGCTGGACAGAGAGCTGCGATGGCCTTTTGGGTAGCACAACTGGAGTATCAAAACTTCCCGTGCGTGTACCGCCGTGGCCGGGCTAGCCCCTCGGCTCCAGAAATCCTTCTACGTGATCACATATGCACCCCCAAGCATTCGCTGTCGCGCTGGTTTTAATAATGAAAATGCTCTCTTTAGTAGAAGCGTGATTAAAACACATCCCTTCTAGGGACTACCAGGTGTCATAAAAAAGGGTGCGGTCATTATCCGTGGAAGATCTAGAATAACCCCCACGACATCTCTTTAAATAAATAAGGCAAACCACAGGGCAGCCTATAGACTGAGGTCTTTCAAAGGACTTCCTAACTGTGTCTGTATGTATGAAAACACTCTGGGAAAGGCCTAGAAGGACAAATGCCAAACACCCACAGATGTTAGCCCGCACGATGGGAGAGCTAGAGGGGGTGAAAGAAACTTTGTACTTGACTCCCTGAACTGTTTTAATAATTTCCAAGAATGTATGGGTGTCTACTTTCATATATTTGTTTGGGTCACGTGGTGACACAGACATTCCCGTTCCTAAGAGGAGTCCCTGGCGGAAGGGCTAGCTGTGCCCCGCCCCAATGGTACTCACAGCCTGGGACGTGGAAACCACCGTGGTGCTGACGGGCACCTGTCGCACCGTGGGGGCTCCCGTGGCGATGCTGATGGGGGTGCTGGCGGCCCCCGAGGCCACGGCCACCGTCTTGGACACGGCAGCGTTCATGCTGGGCAGGGACACCGCTGACGTGTGAACAGTCCCGGACCCGCTGGCCACCGAGGACCCCGGCTTGGCGTGGGCTGCCACGGTGATGGTCTGGCCGGCCTTGGGAGGCATCACACCCAGGCCCTGCACGATGCGGATGGTGGCAGCCGGCTTCGCTTCTGACGACGCCACGGTGCTTTTCCCCTTCTGCTCGGCCACACTCACACCGAGGGCGGGCATCAGGCGAAAAGCTGACCCCGAGCCTTCCGCCGGCTTGAGGTCGGGCGTCACTTTGACCACGGTGGTGCCAGTTGGAGTGGACGCGGGGGCACTGGCGGAACTGGCCTTGGCAGGGCTGTCCGTGGCGTGGACGGGGTTGGAAGTGACGTGTAGGGTAGCGGAGATGCCTTTGCCTGCTGTGCCGCCTCCTGTCCCGAAGAGGTCCTGGGTCAGTTTGACTGTGGTCACCTGGGACTTGGCCAACGTGGCCATCATGTCCGGTGTGATCCGCAGAACCGTCTGGCCTTTGGCATCTGTGGTGATGGAGGAGGGTGGCAGGCGCAACACATCCTTGCCCTGGATGCGGAAGTTAGTGGCGGTCAGTGGGATGCTGTTGCCTGTCTGGGGCTTCACACCAAGCTGCCCCGTGATCGCCACCTGGTGGGGAGAAACAGCACTGACCGAGGGATCCCCAGCGTGGCAGTGGTTCCACCACACAGTTAGGCAAACCTCCGTTTGTGTTTCATGTATTTCTCTAACTTTTCATTTTTAGAAATGATAAATATTCACAAAAGAAGAGGATAATGGAACAAACCCATGTACCTATCACCCAACTTCAATAGTTACCCCTTTGTCAGTCTTGTTTTATCTACCCTCCCCTATGTTTTTGTTGTTGTTGTTTTGAGGGGGAGGGGGGAGGAGGGAGGGGAAGGGGGGAGGAAGAGGAGTGGGAATATTTTTAAGTAAAATAATAGATAGCACTTTGCTGATCAATACTTCTGTACATATCTCCAACCTAGAAAAGGGCCTTTAAATTTAAAAAGACACCTATTATGACCTAATAATATACATTCACATTTCCGCAACCGTCCCCAAAATGTCTCCACTTGGAGAGCAGCAGCGTGGCCAATGCCATGTGTAGTAATCGCAGCCCTTCTGGCCTGGGACTTTCTCTGTCACGAGCCATTTTCCCCTCTGCTGGACCACCCCCATCCCGGAACGGATTTCTCACCCGAGACCACAGACCTCGCTTCACCCCCATCTCCCTCCCCAGCTCACTCCACTGCAATCTCCACTGCAGCCCCTTCCTCTGCTCTCTTCAAACACAAAATTACTCTAAAAGATTCTACAATCACATCTCCATTTCCTCGCCTTACGTTCTCCTGAACACATTCCCAACAAGGCACTAAGCCACTGGACCCAGTCAAGTTCACTCATGACCTACCCCAGGCAGTGGTCAGTTCCCAGGCCTCCCATCACGCATCTGGCACACCTGGTGCACGTACTAACTCTGGAGCACCCCTCTCTCTCTTGCCTTAGTCTGGCACCTGTGTTTCCATCTCAGAGAATGCCGTCACTATCTGCTCCGTCACTCTAGCCAACACCCATGGACTCCCTTCTCCCAGACCCCACAATCAAACCAGAAAATCACACTGACTCTACCTTGAACCCTACATTCAGAACCCAGCCCTTCTCACCCTACGATGACCATTCGCAGGAGGCCAGTGTGACCTCTCCCCGGGACCACTGCCACGGCCCCGACCTGGCCTCCCGGCTTCCGCTCTTGCCCCTAAAGTCCACTGCACACAGCAGCCAGGCCTTCCTTAGTGTAAAGCCAATCAGGCCCTCCTGAGTCATAATCTCAGTGGTTCCCCATGACCTTCGAATTAAAATCTAAGTGCGACACGATTGAACCTCTCGAGAAACCGATTTCCAACGCTCCCGCACTTGCTCACGGGGCCTCAGCCACACGGGTTTCCTGCTGGTCCTCAAACATATTCTTGACTCAAGACGTTTTCTCTTGCTCTGCCCGTTCCTGGAATGGCTCGCCTCCAGCTGCCTGTCATACAGGGCACTTCCCGCCTCACTCCTCTCAAACACCAGCTCCTCCAGGCCCCCTGATCGCCCCAGCTGACAGCACATGCGCTCTCCCTCCCCTGATACTGCTGTTCTCCCCTCCCACACCTGCCCCTGGGGCGCCGGCCTGTCTCCCAGCTCCATGGGAGAGTGGGCTCCACGATGGAGGGACTTAGTCTCTGCAACATACCACGAAATCCCCAACACTGCAGACAGTGCCTGGCACACAAAAGGTACTAATAAATATTTAATGAAGAAAAATGCTCCTTTATCATTCTGTGGTTCCATTTCAGCTGTAAAATGGGGATAAGTGCCTGCCCCACGGTGTTCTGAGTATTAAATTATTTAATGTGTATAAAATGCTTGGCACCGTGCAGGCACTAGTTGCATTTGCCCAATTCTTTGAAGTTCAATGGTTAGCCTTGCATATTCCCAACCACGAAAGCACAAATGTACGCTTCTACGAGTGAAACTGAAACGCCAATAAAGCATGTAAAGTCAGACCCCAGGATTTTAACTCAATCAATCTCCTCCAAACTCAGAAGCTCAGCTACTAAACGCTGAATTAGATGGAAGGAGCAGAGGGCTCTCTCAGGCCCCTGCAGGGCTGACACTGCCCTCGGTGGGAACTAGAACCTAAAATACCTGTGAACTACGGGTCACGGTCACGAGTCGCTGAGCTCTGCACTGTCCTCTGCTCGGGCCGGAGGACGGACCCACCTACCTGCTTGATGATGTTCTGCCCGCTCACATTCTGGATGACGGCGGCTGTGGATGCGCTCGGGGCAGAGCTCCCGGGGGAGCTGGTGGCTGGCTTGCTCACAGGGCTGGTGGTGGCAGGGAGACTTGTCACTGTGAGGCCCGTCTGCCCGGCTCCCGGCCGCTGCACAGTGGCCGTTGCAGTCTGAGCTTTGACTGGGACGGTGGCCATGACTGTCTGGTTCAGAGCATGAGGCCAAGAGCTTAATTAGAGACTGAGATGCAGACCAGGACGCCCCGCAAGAAGGGTGCCTCGGGAAGTGCTCCTAATGGAACAGTGCTCAACCCTCACCACTCCCTAAAGCGGAAGCTGTGCAGTCCGTGCTTGGGTGTAGCATCTTTAATTTTCAGAATGCCTCCACATTTAACACCTCACTCCTACACCAAGGACAAATATCATACCCATTTTACAGTAGAGGAGACTGAGGCAAAGGTAAGACTTTTCTCTAGAATCACACAAGTAGCTAGTGGCATGGCTGAGACTAGAGGCACAGGGGAAGGAGCCCGAGATTTCGGATCGCAGGTCTGGATTTAGCTCCAGCTCTACGAGGGGCCTAACGTTACCATCCTGGGTAAACCAACCAACTTCTCAGAAGTTCTGATGCTCAACATGTCAACTACAACTTACGTTAAAGTACAGCTCGTAAGAACACTCCCCAGCTGTGGACAGTAAACGAGCTGGAAAACACAGCAGTAGCAGCAGTGTACCCAGCCTGCCCACAGCACCCACTGCCCACCTCTGGGTCCGCGGTCCCTGCTTACCTGGGCTGTGGACAGTAAACGAGCTGGAAAACACAGCACCAGTGTACCCAGCCTGCCCACGGCACCCACTGCCCACCTCTGGGCCCGCGGTCCCTGCTTACCTGCGGCATGACTTTGGTCTGCGTCGCGGTGGCTGGCACGCGGATCTGGGGCCCTGCTGGAATCGGTGGCAGTGTCTGTGCTGGCCCCGCTGACGGCTGGGTAACAGCAGGAAGGCCCGACGCGGGCAGCGGCCTGGGAAGTCGGCGGCGTCTGGCTGGCGGCTGGGGAGAGCATGGTTCCCAGCTGTGGCATTTTTGGAGAGGAGACCAGAAGAACACTAGGAGGGAAAGCGGGGACACAGGACACGACGAGCTCAGGACGTGCCCGCGAGAGGACGGGGAGGGAGAGCGCGGGAGGAGAGACGGGGGGCTCACCCGGAGCTGGATTTCGCGGGTTCTGGGGCGGTGGTCGGGCCGCTCTTGCTGACTGCTGGCACGGGCGGCGGGGAGATGGGCGTGGCGGGCAAGGCTGGCGTGGTGGGCGTCACAGGGGTGACGGGGGTGGGCGGCATGCTGGAGTCACTGAGGCTCATCTGGCTCTGCTCCGAAGGGCCGCTGAGGGCCTTCAGGGAACTCTCCTTGCTGCTGGACTTCTAAGCAGGAGAGAGAGGGGGATCCACGCGCAGATTTAACTCGGGGGCACGAAGGCAGGCTCGGCCCTGGTTCCTGGGGCTCTGAGCCTCGCCGCCCTCCCTGCAGCCACCAAGGCGGGCTCTCCGCTGGCCACTTACCACCTTGGAGGAGGGCTTGGGCTTCTGCTGAAGGGCTTTTCTGGCTTTCGCGGCCGCTGCCTGCGCCTGGTGAATCCGCTCTGTGAACGAGAGTGACAAGCATCAGCCACTGTCTGACCTCAGCACAGGAAGGAGGTGCTTCCACAAGAGCCAGGGCCTCGCTGGAGGGCCAAGTCCTGCTCTACGCTCCTGTCCTGCCCAAACGCCAGGGAGAAGCGTCATGGAACTGGGGCAGGAAGTCAGAGCATCCCTAGTCCAGCTGGACACACTGCCCGAGCCTCACGCACCGAACTCTTCCTCGCTCCTGTCGCGGTGCAGGTAGATCCACAGCTTGCGGCCGATGTCGTACTTCACACATGGGTCCTTCTCATAGTGCAGCCGGTCCAGGGCCCCGCTCACCACTGTGTTCACCTAGCAGACAGGACAAAGGGGATGAGGCCCTAAGACCCATGGGAGGTGGAGCAGCTGGGTCGAATCTGTGCTTCACTAACAGCAAGGGTCTTAGGTTAACACTGCTCACGTGACACCCTTCTCTCCTCTTCTTCATTCCGTTTTTGTTTTTTAATTTATGTTACTATATTTTATATTCTCATTATTTTCCGTAATTCCTTTCGGGAACAAAACAAAAACAATCTCTTCTCCAGCCTACCTGAGTGCTGGTGACATCTGGTGCAAGAAACTGGGAGTCCTTGAGCAGCTCACAGATCTCTGCCCGCGTGCCCTCGCCGTTAGGCAGCCGAGCTGCGGCATCTCGAACTGATGGCGTCGGAAAATGGAAAGGCCAAGAATCAAGCAGAGCTACTACGGGGACACCCTTCCCTTCTTGCTCTGGGGGGTGACATGCCCTGGGGTGTCTTCCTCACTCAGCGTTGGGTGGACACTGCCCTCTAGCGGCAGTTCCCTACGTGTACACTCTTCACACTCAGCCAAGACTGAACATGGCACCCAGGACTACCCAGAGGTAACACGCCATACACTGGCAGTGCTGCGATGCTGTAACGGACTCAGATGTGTTCATACCACCTTACAGTCGCTGCGACGACACCAAATACCACTTTCATGCACCACTACTTGGAAATTACAGAAGGTGTAAGACCTGCTGCTAGATCTGATCATTTAATATCAAAATAAACATATATTTCTGCACGAGAAATTTGTTTTAATATTTTGACAACTACTTCAATATGATTAGTTTCTCCTGTAACTCTATGCATTTTGTTTTCTGCATTTAAAGCATAATTCTGAGGGGGCCATAGGTTTCACCAGAGCCAAAGATTCATGACACACACAAAAAGGTTAAAAACCTCATCTTGAAAGGAACCATAGTGTGGAGGCAGCAAATTCCTATACTTGAGCTCACTATTTAGCTGGCCTGGGAACAATTAATTCCTGAATAAACTGAAGCACAGACTTCAGGAAAGAAACACGGATTCCTGATAAAACCCATGGGGGTAGGACGCCCCTTCCCAAACACCAAAGCTTCCTGAAGCTGCGCCGACCCCACAGCTGTCCTGTGTGGTGGGGGCGGGCGTGAGGGGCAGAGCCGCCTGGAGCAGCAGCGGTCCCACCTACCGAGAGAGAGGATGGTGACGTAGGCGGGCCGGTCGGAGCGCAGCAGGGAGTGCTCCCGAGCCTTGTTGAGGGAGGTCTCCTTGTCAAACACGCCCTTCACGGGCCCCACCACGGACTCGAAGCCGTGCATCCGGAAGGTGAACGCCTTGTGGGGCTGGCTGTACCGGTAACGCTCCTATCGAGAGGAAAGGCCACGCTCCTAAGTCAGAATCTGTGGGGTTCCCTCCAGCGCTCCCACCCAATGAGGAGAGATTAAAACGAGGAGAAACAAGCTATTCCACTAGGACCACTGAGCCGACGCCAGTGGGAAAGGGACGGCCCCCAAAGCCCTCCTCCCTGGCAAAGGGACAGGAAGGTGAGTGTAACCATACTCTGCCATCTGGAGGTAAAGGTCATTAAACACCATGGCTGCCCCTAACAAACAATCCCACCGCAGGGATCCCAGGTGAAAGGTGTGGCTTTCCTGCCACACGGCCTCACGGGCACAGAGATCCCCCTGGGCTCGGGCTGTCTTACCTGCTCCTGGAACACCCGTTTCTCCTCCCCGGTGCTGGGCCGCACCACATAGTCAGTTCTTCTGGAACATAAAGAATTTGGGCAATCTAAAAAAAGCCGAGCTCACAGGAAGAAGCAGGGAGTAGAATGGTGGTTACCAGCGGCTGGCAGATGGGGAAACAGGGAAATGCTGGTAAAGGGCACCAACTTCCAGCTACGAGAAGAGGAAGGTCTGGGGATCTAGCGCATAATCGGTGACTACAGTTCATAACACTGATTTATACACTTGAAAGTGGCTAAGCGAGACCTTACCACACAAACACATACATACATTGGTAATTCTGTGAGGTGACGGATGTGTTAACCTTACTGTGGTACTCACTTCACAATCTATACATGTATCAAATCAACACACCGTATTATATGTCAACAGTGTCTCACAAAGCTGGGGGTAAGAAAAGAGGACCACACCAGACGGAGAATGGTCACGTGAGATGCTGTGACATGAAGGGCTCAGGGCTAGAGGCCAAGAGGCCTAAATGCTAGTCCTGTCCCTAATCTCCGGCCAGTCACTTAGCCTCGTGCCTCAATTTCTTTCTAGGTGAAGCGAGGAAGATGGACTGGATGAATCACGCTCAAACGGGAACGGAAGGAGGGGAAGTCAGGGGAAAAAGCATGCCCACCTACAAGGCAGATCACATCCCCCTCAGAAACCCCGCTGTGCGTCCCCTCCCCAACCCAGAACCCTCTCCTCGGGGAGCCGCTCTGGGTGACGGGAGTGTGTCCTCAGGTGTGCTGAGGCAGGTGACAATCCGCGGGCCCCCAGGATCTCTCAAGCCCACGACAACTCTAACAGTTAAGATATGTCAGAAAAGCCATGCAGTAGGTAGAGTTATACTCACACCCGGGGGACAGGAGTGGTAGCATCTGAGCTGTCCTCGTTTTCTTGCTGCGGAAAAGGAAAACATGAACAGGTACGTGGGCTACAGGATTCTGGCTGACGCAGGGCTCTGGACGCCCCGTCAGGAAGGCTGACATTTCTGTACAAAGCATACCTTGCAGAGGGCCTGGTCTTTGGTTTCGAGCCACAGCTGGAAGAGGGCAGCTAACTCCTTCTCGTTGTCTTGGGACTGGCCTGTTAGGAGAATCAAAAGGCAAAAAATAATGGAACCAACCAGGGCTTTCCTGGGGATCTCACTGTCTCCTCGCGTGCTGTATCTCTGAGAGAACCCGACAGGACCTGCAGCATCGGCCTTCGCCACAGAAAGCATCTGGCCCACGGGCTCACAATATTTACTATCTGGCCCTACAACGTGTGCCACACCGGCCCACCGCAGCCAACTTGAAGCACCGCCTGACAGCGTGGGTCGCCTTCCCTCTCCCCGGTCCTGAACTCAGGTCATTCTGGTAAGAATCGCTCTTACAGGAAATTCTTCACCTCCTCCATGTCCACAAGTCCACAGCCTTTATCTTACTGAACCTTCTAGTAACAGTCAAGGCTAATGACCACTCCCCAATTCTTAACTCTCTCACTGCTTGGCTTCCAAGAGTCAGCTCTCTCTTATAGTCGCTTCCTCTCCACGTGCTCCCTCCGCCTCCTCTCAAGGCTTAGTCCTCGGCCCTCTTTTCTCCTCATTTTAGCACCTTCCCCCTATGCCTCTGACTTTAAATGCCATACATATATGTGTATGTGTATGTATATGTGTGTGTGTGTGTGTGTGTGTGTGTGTATGTCAATAGTGCTCTACCTCGACTCCAGTCTGGGTTCTAAACCCATATATGCCATTGTCTGTTCAGTATCTCCACTCAGATGTCGCAAAGGCAGCTCAAACTCAGCAAATCCCAAACTAAACTCATGACCTTCACCCTCACCCATGTCCGGGCGTCTTCCACAGCTGCCCACCTCCATAAACACCACCTTCAGGCACGAAACACAAACCTAGGAAAGGGGTGCTTGCCTGCGCTCTTCTTTCATCCCCAAGTCCAAGTCATACCAAGCCCTGTGGCTTCTCCACCTAAAACCCTCTGAAATTTTAGATCCAAGTATCTTCATCTCTGCACAGGCTTTTCATCTCTGCACAGGCTGTGTGATCGTTTTGAACCGAACCTTCCCTGGCACCACGAAGCCGCTGCCTCCTCCACCTGCCATCGGCCGGCCTCCTCCCAATCACCACTGATATCTCTGCTCATACATCGCTTCCCCAGGAAGGTCCTCCCGGGTCCCGACCACACCAACGCCTCACTGTAACTTCTGTCCTTTCGGGACTCTTCCTTACAGAATGGATAAGCCTGTTATGTCACTTGAAGGACTACTTGTTCCCCAAACAAACCTTAACCCTCATGAGGGGAGCGCACTGTCTGTAACTTGCAAACCAGTGATGGCGAACCTTTTGAGCTCGGTGTGTCAGCATTTTGAAAAACCCTAACTTAACTCTGGTGCCGTGTCACATGTAGAAATGTTTTGATATTTGCAGCCATAGTAAAACAAAGACTTATATTTTTGATATTTATTTTATATACTTAAATGCCATTTAACAAAGAAAAATCAACCAAAAAAATGAGTTCGCGTGTCACCTCTGACACGCGTGTCATAGGTTCGCCATCACTGTTGCAAACCGTTATACCCCCTAGCACCTGACACAGTGCCTGATGCCTAGAAGCTGAACAAATGCAATGGATGGATCGACTGCATCTCTCCATATATATCCTCATAGACTGTGCAAGAGAGTAAAGAGAACGGTTCATGGATTTCAGCATGAAATCAACACTGATTTTCCTCATCACCATCACCAGGTAACAGTCACCGAGTTACTTCAGATGCATGCTACACAGCTTACACAGTAAGTGGAACTGTATAAACTTAAAACAAAAGCAAGGGCCCCGTGCCTTAAAGGCAGCTTATTCGGAGCTGCCTGGCATCTTGCTGCACCTTATCCTCCATAGCAAGTCCCAGTTTTAGGAAAAAATGTATAACTACATTATTACACATTGACCTAAAACCGTAAGTACAATTAATATAAACGCATTTAAATTTAGCCAGCACCGGAGTGCATCGTAATAGAAGGGCTATTCCACCCCAGCCCCGTGAGCCCAAACCCACTGGAGGGGGTGAAATTCGGACCCCGAGTACGAAAGGGATCCCGAAGGAGTCTTCTACTGAACAGCATAAGATTTAACACTGCCCTTTACTGACTGGAAGGCAAAGGAAGCTGAGGGGAGGAAATGAGAGAATGAAGACCTAGTGTCACGGGTAGGTCACGTGAATCACTTACCAAGCAATTTCCACTGCTGGGTTTTCTCCTTGAATTCAACAAATGGAGAGAAACTGGAAGGCACGGCTGCAAGAAATGGACTCCATGAACAAGCCACACAGGTCAGAGTGCGAAACTCAGAATAATGACTGTCCCCGAGTCCGAATGTTTCACGGAATCAGGCCTCCAAGGCCGGCACACAAGCCACACAGGTCAGAGTGCGAAACTCAGAACAATGACCGTCCCTGAGCTGAGAGAACGTCTGCCTGTTTCACAGAATCAGGCCTCCAAGGCCGGCAACGCCCAGTTGGGGGCTGCAGAGAACCAGCTATTGAGGGAGCTGGCCGGAGAGGACTGCCAATCCAAAACCCGCTCCTCCAGCTGCAGGAAAGCAAAGGCAGAACAGTCAGGGTCCTGCGAGACACCAGCCACCCCACGACGGCCACAGCAAGCTGGGTGGATCTGTCCAGTCTGCCCACGACACAGCAAGGCAGCCACAGGGCTCTGGGAGCGACCCAGAGCTCCTCTCAAGCTGCAGACCGGGGTGGGGAACGTCCAGACCACGGGCTGTCTAAGGCCTGAGAAATCAGTAGATCTGGCCCTGCCAAGGCATTAGGGGTGAGTTAATTAAATGCTAGACCAAATAGAGCAGGCTACTTTTAAGTTGATAATTTTGTATGTTATAAATATCCAAATGGCACTTGGCAAAAAAAAAAAAAAAAAAAGGTTCCCCACCCCTGCTACAGAACATTAGGATTTCCTACGATTTGAAAACTGATTCACATCTGACTTTCCCACAACTCTTACCACAGGAAGGCTAGACTGCCCCTCCAGCAGCAAGATCTCGAGGAGGAGAGAGAAGAAGCTGGAAGATATTTCATTGATTCCCAGGCAAGGCTTGAGGTCTTCCAGAGGCCTGATGGAGGAGGAAAAATATAAGAACGCAGAGGACCAAGAACACATCCCCAGGTGGTTTAAGCCCTCCAAGCCTCCTGTCAATCACAAAAGAGTTCCATCAAAGGCCACACCATGCACTTGCTCGAGTAGAACCCCGGGACCCTGGGCTTATGGTTCACCACCAACCAGGCCACCCCCAGCACCGGTACCGGGTCACCCCTCAGCCTCGTCCTCCACCCGCGCGGCCAGCGCTGCTGCTCACTTACTCCTCCTTGATGGCAGGCACTGCCAGCGGAGACGGAGCCTGTGAGAGCGGCGGGATCCCTTCAGGCCCGCTTAAGGGCTCGGCCAAGTCCTCTGCTTCGGACTTGATCACTTTTATTTTCTTCTTCTTCCGCTCCTCTTTTTCCTTCACCTTTTTTTTAAGGACAGCCAAGTCATAGAGGGCTGCGAAGGAAAGGCAACACAAATCATACAACTGCATTTTCTACATCCGGGAGGGCGGGGGTCTCATCTGCGTTTATTTTCTCAGACCCACCAGCAAAAGAAAGAAAAGTCTCAAAAACGAGACATTTACCAAACCCCGAGAGTGATTTACAAATTAACTTTAACAGTTATTCAGGCATCGATGATCCGTTGTTCTGATTCTGTATTCGCTTTCCACCTATAAATCCACTAGAGCAGTGGTTCTCAACCTTCCTAATGCTGTGACCCTTTAATACAGTTCCCCATGTCGTGGTGACCCCCAATTTCACTGTTACAAATTGAACATAATTAAAGCACAGTGATTAATCACAAAAACAATATGTAATTATATATGTGTTTTCTGATGGTCTTACGTGACCCCTGTGAATGGGTCGTTCGACTCCCAAAGGGGTCGCGACCCACAGGTTGAGAACCGCTGCACTAGAGGAAATAACCAAAAAAGCTGAACAAATGCAATGGATGGTTATCAGCAAGAAGAAAGCTGTGATTTCTCTATTTTTCAACATGTACACGGGCTCACGGAATTTAGCAGCGCGATCAGACAATGGCTGCCCCCTGAGGGCATCACTTACCTGCTAGAGAGCCTTTCCTGCCAGCGTTGACACGAGTCATGATGTCATTGAGAGTCAGGTCCCCTGTCAAAAGGTCCGGGTGATCCTAGATGCGAGACCCAGAGATTTGTTACGGAGGCCCAAATAGGGAGCCAAAACTGCTTGGGGTTTTGGCAATTTACCTAACAGATAAATAGACATTACCTGCAACCTAAGAAAAGCATGCTGAATTAAAACTACAAACATAAAAACTGCTCTTCATAACGAGGCATAGAACCCAGGGCCAATCTTTCTATTGTACGGCATTTGCAGTTTATAAAGCTCTCTCACATTCCTCACCTTGCGTGCTCCTCAAATAGTCTTGTTAAAGACCATATTTTACAGCAGGGGTGGGGAACATTTTTTCTGCCAAGGGCCTTTTGGCTATTTAGAACCTCATTCGTGCGCCATACAAAATTAGCAGTTTAAAAATTAGGCTGCTATATTTGGTCAAACATTTAATAACTCACCCCTAATGCCTTGGCAGGGCCAGACCAAATGATTTTGTGGGCCTTATATGGCCCCAGGGCCAGACGTTCCCCACCTGTTTTACAGTCTGAAAATGGGACTCAGAGAAGTTAAGGGACTTGCCCAAGACCACAGAGCAGGTGGGGAAGACGGTCGGTTCTGACTTCCACTGTGGGAGTCTCCCCATCTCGCCACCTGCCTTAGGCGAACTGCCTCCACTTCCTACTGTGCTCTCTGGCGTGGCTGCCCTGGCATCACCTGGATTAAGTGGAGCTTAGAAACAGGAAAGAGCGGGCAGAGCGCAGGATCTGACCTTGGCTCAGCCGCTGAGTAGCTGTGGGGCCAAGAGCAAGCTCCCGACCCTGTAAGCACTGGTAAAATGGCTATGATTCAACACCAGTCTCGAGCAAAGATTAAATCAGACACTACTGTCCGAGTGCCTTATATAAAGTCAAAGCACGGCCCTAGCTGGTCTGGCTCAGTGGAGAGAGCGCTGGACTGAAGGAACCCATGTCCGATTCCGGTCAAGGGCACACGCCTAGGCTGCAGGCTTGAGAAGC